TCACAAACTGATTTAGAAATAGTTACTGATATAATTACAAGGACAAAACTTTCCTCTTATTAAAAAAAAAAAAAAAAAAAGACAGGGCCGGGGATTTAGCTCAGTGGCACCGTGCCCACCACAAATGCACAAGGTCCTGAGTTTGAGTCCCAGTACCGGGGGGAGGGGGAAGTGACATATATCTAACCTCTGGTTATCTGCCACCTGGGATGTCTGCTGTCACGCTGGAGCCACAAGAGGAGAGTTCACAGAGCAAGAATGGCAATGGAGAGAGAGATAAGACAGTTGAGACAGGGTCTCACTATGTAGCCCACGCTGGCCTCAAACACACAGCAATCCTTCTGCCTCAGCCTCCCAAACTCTAGGATTACAGGTGTGCACCAGTTCCAACCTGGATGGTATCGAGGTTCTTGATGACATTATTCAGCCCACTGAACTAGCCAATCCAGGAAATGGCTTCTGCTTAGCCACCCTGTTATCAAACCATTCCAACCTAAAAACTATTAAAACTGTTCTTTGTGTTGTGGTGCTGGGGACTGGGTCCCTGCAACTGTTTTTGACTGTAAAAATAATTCAGATCCAACACTGGAGAAAATTAAACATTTATTGAGTACATGTTTATTTGGTAACAACAGTTTCTCAATAAAAAGATGAGCTGAATTCCTCCAAAACAGAACAAAGCAATTTCCCGTCATTTCCAGGTTAGACTCAAATCTATTATTTTATGCTTTTTAATATCTTTCAAAATACACAACATATCTGGAGGAAGATATTCACAATATTCTAAAACCAAAATATTTTAAAATAAAAAGTAGTTTAAACAATAATTTCTAAGGGCTGGGGATTTAGCTCAGCGGTTCGGTGGCCTGCCTTGCAAGCACAAGGACCCGAGTTCAATTGAAAAAAAAAAAAAAAAAAAAGAATGAACACAAATTTCTAAATATCACAATATAACATGATACATTCCTCCAGCTTTTAAAACTACTACTGCTACTTAAAATATTAGTATATTATGTAAAATACTTGGAAAAAATGAAATACCGTCTACCTTTTCCAGTTTCTGATTTCAGGAACAGGTGCAGTTTCTGCATTCCACCATCTTCTTAACAGATCTTGTGTTATAGCATCCATCAGAAACCACTGGTCAGCTCTCAAACACTGAAGGCACTGCATGTTAAATATGCATGCTCTGCTACATTTGCAATGGATGAAGTATTCAAAACAATACTACAAACCTTGGATTATTTTTGCACAAAATGATAACACTCCAATATTCCCTTTAGAAACTTTATACAAAGGTTGAAAACACATGTTGCCCACCATGGACAGTCATTTACTTTTTAAATGGAACATATATGCGATTGCATTTTCTTCACTGATTTTTTTTTTGCGGAGGGGTACTGGGGATCAAACTCAGGACCTTACAATTGCAAGGCAGACGGTGGAACCACTGAGCTAAATCTCCAGCCCTCTTCACCAATTTTTTAAAGGGTTTGCAATCATGCTCTACATATGAATGAATGTGTTCCCATATTCCAACTACATAAACAATATAATCAAAGGCTCCACATTGGTTCTCAGATCTGTTATTAAAATCTCTGACTTCAAATAGTCCAAATACCAATTCACAGTACTAGTGGTGAGAAAAATTATTGGTAAAAGCTCTTATTTGAAAATTCTAAGGAGATAATCCCATTAGATATTTGGAGTTACTAGTAGAGACAAGGTGACAATTTAAACTTTCCAAAGTCTAACACTGATTTGTAATCAATTTTAAATTATTCAGACTAGTATGTCATTCTGCAATTGCTAGATATTTGTTACGCATGTTTTGGGTTTTTTTTTTCTTGGTACTGGGGATCAAACTCTGGTCCTTGTGCTTGCAAGGCAGGTGGCAGAACCACTGAGCTAAATCCCCAGCCCCCGCTAGATATTTGAATAACATCATATCACTTTTAGTTTTTTTCTTCATTCTTACACCCCTTTTAGACTTGTACGTTACGTTTATATAACCTTAGTTTTTGAAATTCAATTTATGTTCAATGAGTTAAGAAATAACAAACATCAAAACAGTTTAGCCAGACTTTACTAGGCAAAAAGAGTTTGCTTTGGCAATGTATGAAATATAACCATTACAGTAAAAAAATTTATTAAATATTAAAATATAAGGCAATTATTAAAGATATTTGACATTGCATTTAATAAATGGGTAACTGGCCCCATGCCTGACATATTGCACCCCACCATTTCTTCTCTACTTACTCTAAGGAACCAAAAAAGTTATCTTAAAACAATAGAGCAGTGGTCTTTCTAAAAACATCTGATTCCAATTGTAACTACAGTATTATTCTGAAAAAGATAATGAGTATTTTTAAATTTTTTCCTATTTTATGTCTCTACCGTTCCTGTTTTCTTGACTCATTGGTAACAGTTACTGAAAGCATCCTCCTGAAAAACAGATGTAATTTAAGGATTAACCTACCATTTAAGGCAGGGCAGTGATTCTCAAGCCTCCTGGGAAAACTGCTACAAGAGATGCCTGGGTCCCTTTCAGACCTAACAAAGCAGTGCCTTCAGGCCTTCCTTCCCTGAATACATGGCTAGTCTCACATAACCCAACGTTAGGTTTGGCTAAAGCATAAAGTTGAAATGGAAGACATTTGTTTCCACCACTCCTAGCTCACAAACTGGGATCCAATAAAAAGACAAAATGTTGGATCGTTATTCCTAAAAAAAAATGAGTGACATGATCAGGAAATATCTCTAGTCCCAATACATCAAACACAGCTGCCTGCCGCTGTCCCGTTCCACAGAAGCCAGCACCATTCCTGACCTTCAGTGATGGAGGACAGCAGGCAGTAACCTAGTGCAGGGACTACACCTCCAGAAGAAGCTATCTCCACAACCTTTCTCTCCATCTCCACTTCTCCTTCTCCCATCTTCAGCTCATCTTCTCTTACTGTCTTTTGCATCCTCACTTTAATCCTCCTCTCTTTCCTCTCTCCTTTCTTCCCTGTTCTTTTTCATTATTCATTCACATCATTCTTTTCTTCTCAACATTCTCTTCTCTAACGATTCTTTCTTTCACAATACAAGCAAATTCATACTGCAGATGTATGTCAGAAAGCCTAAGGAGATGGTGTAACATCGTGTGGCTTCATAAACCACGCATGATATATTCAAGTCTATTACCTCTTCTGAGTCTCGTCTTCTTGTGAGGTTTGAAAGGCAGGTTAATTGTACTTAAAAGCTAAGGCACAGAGAAGGCTAAAAGACAGGCCTGAGGTCCTAACCAGATCTATTCACAATCTGGTCTTCTCATTACACTAATACCATCTGACTGAGGTAAGACGAGAGAGCAGTGTATAAGCAGTAATGATATTTCAGGCTCTGAAGTGTCCAAAGAGAGCTTGGTTACCTTATACGGGAAGAATCACTCTTCATGAGGACTAGAACAGTATGGGTATTCTTAAAATGTGAATCACAAAATATATTTCTAGAGGTTTTCCAAGTTCATTTAAAATGGCTACAAATACAAAGTATGAGTACATTTTAAAGTCTTTCCACTTTGGTAATACTGTAGCCAGAGATAATTCTGAAGCCAGAATTGTTCTAACACAGCCTCAAAAAATATATAATTTATACAAACTGCATAGATACATTATGTTTTACAAAAAACTACTTATACTAAAAACATACATGTTCTGCAAGTTGTCTGTCTATAATTAAACTTCACTGAGAACTGTATTTCTTGAAAATTCTCAAAAAAAATTACTTTGTCTAAAGATAAAATTCATTTTCAAACTACTATCAACACTTCTGAGATATCATTAATTTTAGGTAAAAAAAAAAAAAAAGTATACATTTATGGTAAAATAGTCAATTAAGTCAGGTCTAAGAGGCAAGAAAAAGGGCCTCTGACCAAGCCACAAAGCTGACTGTGGGACAGTACATAAGCCACAACACAAGTGAGCCATGGACATATCCGGCTCACTGAGCTACACCAGACTCTTCGCTGTCTCGATGAGTCGCAGCAGAGCCCGTGAGTCTCCACTCACTGAGAAAACTAAATCTACAGAAATCACAAATATAAATTCGTATCTTATCAATAACCCAAACTGGTTCCTCTAATTTTAAAATCACATTTATAATTTACCAACTGTGACAAGAATTGTGGCAACCTAACTTTAAAAGTGGGCAAAATAACTTGTTCCCAAACTAGGGGGCATCAAACTCACCTGAAGTGCTTATTAAAAGCAAGATATAACATATTTGCATCCTAGTTCTAACAAACCAAATGAACAATGGCACTTTTTATACAATCAGCAAAACATGCTTAAGGATTGGACAGTAGATGAAACCAAACGGCTGTCACTCCTTTTACATATGATGTGTTTGTAATTTCCAAAATGTTCATAAGCAGTGACAAAAATGGTATCTGCGATTTCCTTAAGGTATTTCAGCAAGCCAGGCATGACGGCACATGCCTGTAATCCCAGCACTTTGGGAGGTTTAGGCAGGAAGGAGGACTTCAAGTTTAGCCCAACCTAGGCAACTTAGTAACACTTAGAGACACCCTGTCTCAAAATATAAAATACAAAATGTAGCTCAGATGTAGCTCAGTATGAAGGTCTGGGTTCAAGCCCCGGTTAAAAAACACACACGTGCACACATGCATACACATACACACAATCAGCAAAGAAAAAAAGAGTAAGTGAAGCAAATATTGACATATTAGATCATGAGATCTAGATGATGAGTACCATTGTACTATGCACTCTACTTCTGTGTAATCTTTAAATCTTTTAATTAAAAAGACTTTGCAGACTCCATCCTAGATATAGGATATTAATCTCCAAATGGTGAAGGTTCAGAACATCTGGGATTTTGTTGGTTTTTTTGTTTTTGTTTTTGTTTTGTTTTTTGAGACAGGGTCTCACTATGTAGTTGAGACTGACCTAAAACTCACTATATAGCCCAGGCTGGTCTTGAACTCACAGCAATCCTCCTGCCTCAGCCTCCCAAGTGCTGGGATTACAGGCGTGCACCACCACACCCAGCTCAGAACATCTGTTTTTAACAAGCTCCCTCTCTCTGGAGTCAGACAGCAATGGTCTCATTTGTGGACCATTAGAAATATATATACATCAGCCAAAGCTTGAAATTTTAGGATACTCACTTCCTCTTCAGCAAGATCAATTTTAACACAGTTCTCACACTCTGTAAAGGAACTAAAGCTCTTGCTCTCTCAACCAATCAGTTATAAGAGTGCAAGGCTGGTTATCAACCTCTCTTTTTTGGGAAGTCTTGTGAGGAGTGGAGTCAACTTTTAATTTGCTTTTTCTAACATTTCTCTCTCAGTCTATCCCTGACTAAACTACAGAAGACAGGAGACAACAGTACCAATCACTTAATTTCTGCATATCCAGGGCTACACAGAAGACACTGTATCTTTTCAAGACAGAATGCCACAATTTTCACAAGTGATTTTTTTCCTTCATGATGTGCCCTTCTCTATTTAAGCATTAAAATATCAGACAGAAAAAAGAAGATAACCAAATAGCACAGAGCAAAATGAGATATGTACTCCAGTATAATACTCAGATCTATAATTATGTAGATAGCAGGTCAAGAATGGCAAGAGAAGTAATACTTTTCTCATCTTCAAGATTAAAAAGCTAACTGTCTTTAGCACTGTTCAAAAAAAAAAGGAATCAACCAATCAAAACTACCTTTCTATAGATTAACCTGTTAATCCAAATCATCCATCAAAGTTGTTCAACTTACTTAAATTGAATCTATAAATTTGCTTCTTCAAAAAATATCCTATAACGCCATTTGAGGTAGAATAGTTTAAATGGACTATTTTTTCTTATTGTGTGGTAACTAAAATGACTACTCACAGGAAGTATACAGCTTATGTATTTTGGTCCGCTGCATTTCCGACCATCACATTAACATTACTATTAAGGTTCTCACTTTATTATCACCATAATATATCTTACTTCCAGAATGCCCAGTAAAGCTGCAAATTTTCACATAAAGTGATATAAAAATTCTAGATAATTTATAACTGAGATTTGGTAAAACAGTTTAATGCACACAAAATGAAAACAGTACATTTCTCTTTGTCTCTCACCTCTACATACACACACGCGCACACACGCGCGCACACCATGCACACGAAATCCTCAACATTTTCACTATTTTTACTCTTTCTCATACAACTCAGTTTTTAACGTGCAGCTTAGAGTCTAAAAACATGATTGTCACAAAAAATATTGTAGAATAGAGATGAAATGCATAAAGGTACACATAGATTGTCAATGATTACATTGGTCATATCACATTTCTTGAGAAACCTTTTCTGTTCCTGTAAACAACTTGTTTCTCACGTGTATAAAGTGAGGTTAGTGCTGACATAAATTATTGCTATACTCACAGTTTGTGTCTCCACTGTGTAAGAGGAACCCTTTTTCCCACACACCCTATATCTTACTCCAGAGTAAAAGCTAGCAGGGTTCTGCAGTCTACAAGCTTGGAATAACCCTTGCAGCAATAATGGAATGTTAACAAGTAATGTGTTACAAAACATCAGAGATCAAAAATGTCTTCTTGTTGGAGCCCAGGATTTTAACTCGTTCTTCATCACATGAATATACTGCTTTTATAACTTCTTCGGGGGAAAAAATATTCTGGAGATGAGTAATTTCTCCCCAAATACTTCATGGAAGATGATTCCCTCACATATATCCTCTGATATTTTGTTGTTTTTGTCCATTTACTTTAGCAGTCACAAGAATCACCTTTCCTTTGGTGGTCTGTCATAACGGTCTCTTATGCTTTTTGTTAGTTGCTTGATAAATATTTTGTAAATTTTTCCACAGTATGTGTGCACTGTCTTTTGTAGTTCCAGTTCTAAAGGCTTTAACAAGGAATGGACATTGTCATCTTCAAAAGAACACTGGAAAAAGAAAAAAAAAGCAAAAATACATACAAAAGTTTTATTACTTTCCCAACAGCTTCTCCAGTTTAATATTAACCTCCATTTAGTATCTCACAAAAAGTGTATGTTCAATATTTTCAAGGAATCATACAGAACTATTAGAGAAGGGAGAGAGAGATGGCAATTCTCTGAAGGAATCAGGGAAAGCTATTCAGAGAGGGGTTATAGAAGTAGGGCATTCTAAATTAAGGGAAAAACACACTCAAGGACAGAGAAGATCCAGAGATACTGGTGTAAAATGTTCATACATTCTGAAGCTATCTGGGAGAAACTATGAAAGTTGAATTTCTTTTTTAAAAAGGGGAGGGGGCTAACCAGGCATGGTGGCACATGCCTATAGTCCCAACTACTCAGAAACCTGAGGCAAGAAGATTGAAAGTTTTAGGTCATCCTGGGCAACTTGGTGCCAAACAAAGACAAACAATCAGAACGTTCCTGTGCATCAAATTCCCACTCCCACCTTCCTAAAATGTCTCAGTAACAGTGGTGAGGCTAGATTAGAAAGGGATGAGATGGGAGGCCTGGAGGGGAAGAATGCATTACAACAATACAGCTCTGCATTTCCCGAAGAGCTGTATTTGCACAGAGGGCTCCCAAAGATAAAGATATTTGAGAACTGCTTTTTGCACTCTTTATTCTGGCACATGAAAAGGTCTAAAACGTAAACCAGGAAATACATCAATTGAATGATAACTAGCCCATTACTTACAAAATATATTTTTGACTAGCTTCTTTGTTTGTTTTACTGTAAAATATATAAATATCCTAGGAAATATATTTGGGAGCATTGTAGTTAAGTGGAAATAATTTGTGATCTTATTATTTTCAAACAGATTTATTTTTGATTTAGTATTTTCAATTAGGTATATTTTCAATTAGAAAGATTGATGGGTATTGAAAATAAAATGCAAGGAAATTCAGAACTTGAAACCTGAGAGGTGGAAATAACTTGAGATTATCCCTGAAGCTCACTAGCACTGAGGGAGAAGAAATAAATACTCCACCCTAAGCACAGTCTGGAAAAAGCCACCATGTACCAAGAAATAGGTCTGTATTTTTAACATGTACTTATCAGTGAGGAAATCCAAAGAGATCCTAAATATTGGTACCTCTCAAGCAGGAAAAGTGAACCTAAGTACAGGAAACTATTACTCTGAAAGATTTTTAAAAATCAATCACATATATTGAATAGAAACATTTAAAATGGTTTTGAAGGCAGAAATAAAAAGGAATGAGCTTAGCTAGAACAATGTAATGAAAATGTGAAAGAGGAAGAAAGGGGCTAAAGGTGTAGGCAAAGTGGGAAGGGTAGGGGAAAGCTAATAAGGGAAAAGAAAAAAGTATGAGAAAATGAAAAAATGGAAATGAAGTGTTTGTAAAGGAGGAGGGGAAGAGGGGTGAAAGGATGGCAGGGACAAGGAGAAAAAATGAGAACCAAGACCTTTCATGTAAAGGTACAAGATCCCAATAATGAATGTAACTGTACTGTATGCCTAAAATGTACCAATAAATTCAATGAGGAAAAAATAAATAAATAATTTTAAAAATAAAAATTTTAAAAAAGAAAAGAAAGCAGCACCAAGAGCTGGATGTCATTTTAAGAAGGTACAGGTATTAACGTGTTTAAAGTTCAAAATAATTTTATGAAATCTATTATCATTCTCACTTTTCACTGAAGCGACAAAGGCAAGGAGCGAGCATTTTCCCACTGTCATAAACTTAGGTAAGTATATAAAGCCATAATTCTTCCCCAATAGCCTAGCTCCAAAAGTCTAGGCCAATGGTGTAAACCTAGGGCACATGCACCACAGCTGGCTGTTATCACTGAAAGCTCTAAAACGTTCACCATCACGAGTCTAGGCACTTCAGCACATCACAGAAATACTGCTCCAAATAAGTAAACAAAACCATGCTTTCACCCTTAAGCAGCTTAAAGGATGAAGCTGAATGTGCAGTGTAAGACTGAAAAAGTGCTGTGCTGTGTAAGATACGGACAAGTTTGTGTGGGGTTACAAGCGGCTTCTGGGTTAAAGAAAGTAAACTTCATCAAGCAATATTGTTAAGTAACATTTCAGTGTGTGTAAAAAAAAAAAAAAAAAACACACTCAAATGACAGATTGGGAGGAATACAACAATGGGAAGATCACATTTTGGTCAGGTTATTTATTTGTGTGTACCAGACCTTGTGCTTGCAAGGCAGGCAGAGGCACCACTGAGCTAAATCCCCGGCCAGTTTTTTGTTTTTACTATATAATATTAACAATAAAATAAAGACATAGTAAATGCATTTAAGAATTAGGGGAAGACTGCTGATTCCCAGAACTATGCAATACTTAAGAATAAATTCATTTTCATGTGACTTACATCCCAGTGTTTGTGGCTTTTTTCCCCCTTCACTGAGAAAAAAAGCCTTTTGATAAGTATTTTCTGAAATAAGAACTATATGACACAGCAATCTGACTCTAAGGGAAAAGATAAATTACCATAGCCACCTACATCATCAACAGTCTAAAGACACTACATTCTGACCTTCAGTCCATGCCACACCTCCAGGGTTGTACAGATAACTTACATCTCAAGGTAGCTTTCCAGAAGGCCACACATGCCTTACATCCCTGCAGGACTCTTGCTATGCTGCTCTGTGCTTCACTCATCCTCACCATTGCTTCCAGGCCTGTACTCATCATCCTTCTGGCTAAAGTCAAATGTCAGCTCCTCTCAGAAACCTTTCCCAACATGGCCCTTCCTTTCCCTAGCACATTACCCAGAATACAATTTATCAGGAAAGCCAGGCTTTACATATTAAAGCATCAGCTGAAAGGCGGGAAATACACACCATGAGGCTATGATGATCACAATGAGGCAGTGTGAGGCATTTTCAAAGAACAGAATGCACAGGTGGGCACAGCAGCACACACCTGTAAAGACCACCTACTCAGGAGTCTGAGGTAAGATAGTGGCCTGGGCAACTTAGTAAGACCCTATCTCAAAATTTAAAAAAGGGGCTGGAGATGTACCTCAGTGAGGAACACTTGTCTAGCATGCATGAGAACCACAAAAATTAACAAAAAGCAGAACATACATGAAAAGGATGACAGAGTGGCAATTCAATCCAATAAATCCTGAGTGTCAACTATACACAAGGAGGTACTGTGGTAGAGAAGGCACTCAAGATCATTGCAGAGAGATAGTTATGCAAATATAAGCAGGTGCATAGTAAATCAAAGTTAATGCAGAAACACCAAGGAAATACAGTAATTCAGAATGAAATACATGAAGCAGAAAATACCTTGGAGCCATAAAATGTTTTGTTCCCAAAATGACGTTCCAATTTTTAAGTTTAGTAGTTTTATTCACCCAACAACTAATATTTAACAAACATGTATGGACTGTAAAAACTGATTTATTGGCAGACACAGCTATGTATTTAATTTTAAAGATGGTTACATCCTTTATAATTAATATTGTTTGCTGGATCCTGTGGCTGTAACTAAGCTTCCATCTGAAACTTGCATACACACCCTTGTCTAAATGCAATTCTTTAAAAAATTACACTTCTCACTTAATTATAGATAAGGGAAGATAAAAACACAAATCAACAGCACCATAAAAGGCTGATTAAATTCATTAAGTTGAAAAATGTATCAATATAAGCTGTAGTTAACATAGACCCAAAACAAACAAAAAAAATCAGTGTTTGAAATCATTCTTAAAATAAGATCTATTTTTGTAAAGTCAAGTGTAATTAATCAACTTAAAGCTATTACTCAATTTAAAAGCTATATATTTAAAGTTACAGGAAAATATAAAACTAGAGAGATTTAATTCTTTAATAAGATTCTTTTTAAATGTTCAAAGGAAACAAAGGAATCACATTTTTATAGGAATGCATTTCTTTTCTATCTTGCAAAGTCTCAGAACCCCAAAAGTACTTTTCTTCATTTTTACCACCTTCTGACAACCCATAATAAAGCATTATTAAAATATATTAATTTCTGAAAGCACACAAGCCAGCTACATTAAAATGAAAATCAACACTAAATGTTATAATTCTTCAGTGTGTATAGTCATATCATGATTATTTAGTAACTTTATCTGTCAAGTTTATAGGACAAGAAACTTAGCAAATAATATATAAAAACTGCAGGCCAGGGATTTAGCTCAGTGGCACTACATCTGCCTTGCAAGCGCAAGGTTCTAAGTTTGATCCGCAGTACCAAAAACAAACTTGCAGCTACAGATCTATTACCAATCGATCCACCAAGTTTGATATAAAATGATTTCCAGGAGAAAACTCCACTTCCTTATGATGGTGGATCAGCACACCAATACCACACACTATCTCCACATTTCACCTTCATCCAAGCCACTGCACACCTTCATCCACCCAACAACTCAATGCCTGACCTTTCCAGGGACCTATCCACAGCCTGAACAGTGTTCTCAGACAGTTAGTTATCAGAGCCCACTCATCTGGCAAACTCTTACTCATTCTTCAGGGCCCATTTCAAATAACTCTTCTTCTATAACGAAACTACTAAACTCTCAGTTCTAGTAAAGTCTCTGCCACAACAGATTATAGTCAAGTGTTTTTATTCTTATTTATCAATAAAGCTATACTAGACCACAGGTTTTAAGTCACTAGCAAATAGTAAGAACTTGGCAAATAGGAATCATCAGCTCTTCTTCAGACTTCCACACTTAGGCCAAACTAACACAATTATATTTATTAATTTTTTTTCCACATCCACTGAAATTAAGCATAGTCTAGCAGAACAGATAGCACGCTTGTGTGAGTTAAATGCTCATATGTACTTCTCCCTAGGTTAGCAGTGAACCACCTAACATGGAAAGTAATGTAGCTCATCGCTGGAGCATAAATCCAAAGCTCCATAAAATCCACTACAAGATCTTGCAGCCTAAGATAGCCACAGAGGCCTAATTCATGCATGCACCTAACGTATGTAAAGTATAATCATCTCTATCAATCCACCTTAATTACCCAAAACAAGAATGGACAGACAAGAAGAAAAGAGAAGAGAATCAATATCTGGGGTGATAGTAGTAGGGTAGAGACAAAGTGCCAAGCTCACTTCCTAAGACCCCATCCTCCAAAAAGCCCACTCAAGGGCACCACAATCCCTTATGAAGGTGGAGTGCCCATGACGATGATTACGTCTCAGGCCCCACTACCTCTTAATATCATTATACTGAAAATTAAATTTCAGCATCAGTGTTACAGTTTGAATCAAAAATGACCCACTAAGTCCCCTGTGTTTGGAAGATGTCTAGATCATGGGGGCACTATAATCACCTGTGGATTAGTCAGCCAATGAGTTCATAGCTAACTTGCTGTTAGGAGGCGGGGCCTGCTTAGAGGCAGGTCACTGGGGGTGTGACTTGTCTTCCCTTCTCTCTCTGCTTCCTGGATGGCATAGGCTGAGCAACTTTTCTTCTGTGAGGGCCCTCTGCCATCTTGTTTCTGCCAGCCAACCAGAGTCAAAATAAGGCTCACCACTTTTAACCTGTGAGTGTCGGGTATTTTGTTCCAAAGACAAAAAAGTAACTAATACAATGATTTCTGGCTCGGACATTCGACCCACAGCAACCAACAAAATGTTGGCAGTACCTGGGTTCATGTATGATACTAATATGGCCCCAGTAAAATTATCACTGAGCTTTTCTTATATCAGTGTGGGAAAGTGAATATGCAATCGCTAGGGAAACACTAAAAAGTTCAGGCTGCAAAGAGGGAATAACCCTATCAGACACTGAAATACATCATAAAGCCATCATAACTTAAATAGTATTAATGCACAAAACAACAAGATAGAAAATCAGGAAATTACAAATGGAATTTCAGTAGACAACAAAGTCAGTATCTCAACACTTAAGGTTGACAGCAAACTTTAAATAAATGGTGTTGAAAAGGTGTAGGGGAAGCGGAAAGGTAGGGGAAAGGAAATAAGGGAAAAGAAAAAAATATGAGAAAATAGAAAAAAATAAATAAATGGTGTCGAGACCATGGCAGAGCTATTTGAAAAAAGGATCAAATGATATCCATTCCTCTTCCAAAATAAAAGAAAATGTAAATATAATAAATGAAATAACAGTGAAACCTCAAGTTATGATGGGCCTGGCATCCGAACACCTCAGGTTAAGATTCATTTGCCTCTTGTTATCTATAGTGTGTATGCAAATAAACGTCCAGATCTCAGCTACACTGACTTAAGTTACAACAATCCCTCAGTAATCGATCAAGTTGATAAGCCAAGGGTCCACTGTAGTATATGGGTGCTTTCTCCTGTAAGTGGTTCTATAACCTGTTAGCAGTAAGTCTAATTATGACATTGTCTTAAAAAAAAAAGTTGATAAACAATTGCATGAAATTTTTTAAATAAACAGAACACATAAAATTCCTTAAAGTCAAACTGGAGAAAAAAAACAGTAATGTATCACTGACAAAAAAACTAATATTCCCTATAAAGAATGTGCTTATAAAGAAATTTTTTAAATTAAGAGAGGCAAAACACTCTCATTGTAATAACTGTAAAATTCTTTAAACATGCCAAAAATCAATGGATCATATAGATAAAAGGAGACAACTCTGAAGGTATAAATTGTGCTTCAATAACATTATTTTTAAAAACCTATAGAAGAATAGATGAAAGACTTAAAAGAAAACGTATTCCCCAAAAAGATACAAGGTTCTTGCTGGGCATGGTGGCACACTTGTAATCCTAACAAGCCTTTGCTGGGACAAGAGGATTGTGAATGCAAGGCCAGTCTAGGCTATATGGCAAGCCCAAGACCACTTGAACTACATACAAGACTCTATCTCAAGAACAACTACAACAAAAAGTTCTTAAAAATATAAAATAATCAACCTCACAATAAAATAAATACAAATTAAAACTACACTAAGGCTCCATTTCTCATTTGTCATCAGAATGACAAAATCTCAAAGGCTTAATACATTCTGTTAATAAGGATATAGATAACAGGCTACATCATAAACTGCTGACAAGAATGAAAACAAACCCTATTTTAGCAAAATAAGCAATATCTTCAATACAATAATCCCACTTCCAGGGATTTCACCTGCCCAAAATACAAATGTACATATGGCAAAGCTATGTGATGCTCCACTATTCATAATTCAAACTACTGGAGGGCTGGGGATTTAGCTCAGTGGTTTTGCCGCCTGTCTCACAAGCTCAAGATCCTGAGTTTGATCCCCAGTACCAAAAAAAGAAAAGAAAAGAAATAATTCAAACTACTGGCAACATCAAGTGTCCTGTTAAACTGATGTATATATTCCCAGAATATTTTAAGTAGAAAAATACAAACAAATAAATATGTACAGCATGCTACCCTTTGTGTAAGAAAAGGGAAATTATAAAACAAGCACACATGCAGGTACTCGTCTTTCAAAGAGAAACACAGGAAGGTCAGAGCAGAAAACAGTGACACTGGGGACTATGAGGATGGGTGGGATGAGAGGGACAGGGGATGGAGGGATCCATCTAAGTAAACCCTTACATGCTTGCAACATTATTTCTTGTGACTCAGCATCTCACCATGTAGTTTAGGATGGCCTCAAACTCTCAGTGACCCTAATGTTTTAGCCTCCCGAGTGCATGATTTCAACTTTTAAAATACATTAATATTTCACTTACTAAAAACATATCAAGGAGAGAAAGGAATATATTTCAAATAAATAAAACAGTCACACTAAAAGAGAGGAAGAAAGAACCAATTCAAGTAACTTCTGAGTACTATATTAAGTGCACCCTCACAAAGGAACAGGAGAGAGATGACTGGAAACAAATCCTCAACCCTTCTTGGTGGGTTACATTTTAGGGGTGGGTGATGGAGGTAACAGTGTACAGGAAGCATTTCTGAAACAATTTTAAATGCATCATAGATTTAAACAAATGAGGAAATAGCTGATGTGAGGGGTCACGATTCTAATTGCGGAACTGAAATGAGATAAAGATCTAGAGGGGAAGGCAAGGAAGATCCTTGGAGGAATGGGCTAGAAGTGAAGGCATCATGTGACCCTGTGTCTGTGTTTATATTTCATAGCTCTGTCATTGAAATGGCAAAGACACCCTGTAGCAATGATCATGCCTAACATCCAAAGCCTACTAAAGGAAAACACAGCTCCTCTGAAAGATGGCTAATTTCAGAATTAAGACAGAAAAGTATAAGATAAACCTGAAATATTTTGTTGGGACAAAAAATAAGAAGAAACTTTTAAAAAATGATGGGGCATGCTAAAATGGCAAAAGTGGCTGAAAGATGTTTCCAGTGACCAAATCTGCAACAACTTTAGCACCAAAATAACTAGAATAGCATAACTCATTGGGGTAAGAGGGATAACTACCAAAACTATCATTATACATAGATCAAGAGATGAGCAAAAAGGGAGGCTCAAATCTTCCTCACAGCATGTGGAAGGAGTACTAGAACTGAATAACAATCAATCTGCAACTGCCATAGTAAGGACTGATGCAAGAACCAACAACCAATGCTCCATCTAGTAGGAAAGTCTTAATAACTGCAGTGATCCACCTCTTCCAACAAGGTAACAGTAAACAAGATAATACCTCCTAACAGTAAATCAGCTATATTGTCCCCATAATCCAGTCAGGCCTGTGAGTGTTTACATGATTTAAAAGATTGCTCCCACGGGCCACTTAACAAGAGGAAAAGTAACCATGCACTGTGGAGAAACTGAATAATGTTTTGGCTGAGAGATCAACATCACCCTTAAAGCACAGACAGACACAAGTGACTATGAACGTGATAGAGAAGGATACATCACATCTGATCAGGAATGCATATCCTAAACCTACCTATGAGGAAATACTAGACAAACCAAAACTAAGAACATCTGACAAAGCAGGCAGGGAATCTCTACTCTCCAAACCTGTCACTGTGAAAGACAAAGACTAGGAAACTATTCTCTGAGTAGAGGAAACACATGGATGAGACTAAAGGATGAGAGGCTCAAGTATCATTAAATTTTTTGAGGTTAGTATTTGTGCTGTGCTTATAAGAGAATGTTCTTTTGTTTAGTAAAACACTGAAGCTTTTAGGAGTAAAAAAAAAAAAGTATATTATATGTAACTCACTGAAAAATGGCTGAGAAAATACAATTTACAGAGAGAGAGAACCAAAAACAAAGCAAACAGAGCAAAATATTTAATAACTGATGAACCTAAACAACAAATGTATTTAAAGTCTGCACTATTTTTGCATACTTGCTCATCACTGAGGCACAATACCTGGCACCCAAAGTTTAAAGGAGGCTTATTCTGGCTCATAGTTTATAAAGTTTTCAGTCATAATCAGCTAGCTCCAAGACAAGGTGGCATGGCAAAGGTCATGGAGGAGGAGTAGTAGTTCAGGGCAAGGAAACCAGGAGCAGAGAGCAAAGGGAGGAGCCAGAAAGGAAATCACAACTGTGGTGACCCACTTTCCAACCAGACCCAACTCCTAACAGCAAGTCAGCTATAATCCCCATAATCTGGTCACCTCCCAGAGGTCCCACCTCTGAGCATAGGAGGCTTTGGGAGGCATCTAGAACTACACCATAACATTCTCCATAAACTTGGCACATTTTATCAAATGAAAAGTTTTGTTTAGTTTAAAGGCAAACCTTACATTTCTCAGTGCTTCATAAACAGCTCTGAATGCTGGCTGCTTATCATCGTGGTAGACACCTCTGTTCCCATGAAGAATAAAGATCCCTTCTTCTTCTGCTTCACGGCAGTTGCTTCCATATATGCAATGATCAGGTCGATAATTCCATTGACATGGAAAAATGAAAAGGCTTTCTACATGAAGACAAATCAAATAATGAAACAAACACCCCTAACTCTACAGGATTAACACTCTGCAAAATTTTTAGTTTAAAAATACACCTCTTTGCTGCCAACTTTGGAAAAAGTCATCCCAATTTACTGTGTTGAGTTGGCATTGTACAGAAATGGACAACCATATTGGTCTAGAAACGTTAATTTATTTATTTTTTTTTATTTTTTTTCCATGTGTACAGGGGTAACACATCGTACTAAATATGTAAGGTCATATCTACGTGGGTTTGATTACAGAAACTAATAAAGTATTCTCTAAATAATGAAAAAAGAATAAGATAAGACTATAAGAGCGAGAAGCAATTTAAATATGTTCAGGGGCCATTTTCATCTCCAGAATTAACGATTATTTTAATCCTACATCATTGCCTTTTCTCTTTTACTTCCCTTTTTAGTTTTATTTTATGTTCACAGACCATTTTCATCTCCAGAACTAAGGATTATTTTAAAGTTATATCATTGCTTTTTCTCTTTTACTTCCCTTTTTAGTGTTATTTTAGGATTCCCTATTTTTAATGTTCAGACAGAGATTTCTTTAACTGAAATACTAAATAGTTTCTTTGGTGTGAAAAACTATAATAGTACACAGGATCCTAATGAGATAATTAATAATGTGAAATAGGTAGTAAAGGGCTAAAGGTGTAGGGAAAGTGGGAAGGGTGGGGGAAAGGTAATAAGGGAGAGGAAAAAAATATGAGAAACTGAAAAAATGGAAACAAAGTGTTTGTAAATGGGGAGGGGAGGAGGGGGTGAAGGGAAGGCAGGGACAAGGGGAAAAATGAGAATCAAGACCTATTATGTAAAGGTACAGAATCCCAATGATGAATGTAACTGTATTGTATACCTAGATTGTACCAATAACCTCAATAAAAAAGAAAAAAAAATACACCTCTTAGCAAATAAGACTTAAAATAGTGAAAGATATGCTTGGGATTTATAGATCTCTCTCATCTGAATCAATTATTTAAGAAAAATTTTACTGTCTCAACTGTAAATAGCAGCAACCATTAAAATACACCCAAATCAAATTGCTGCATGTCTCCCCTTCTAAGTATCATCTACAATTTCTTTTTACAAATGTAAAGAATAAAAGGAATTTAAATAATTACCTGGATTATGAAAAAACATGATATTCAACAGATCTTGATCACCCCATGTAATGTTCAGTTTGTATTTTTTAAGCAATGGCATAAGTATATCTCCCCACTGTAGCCGTACTGTTGTCATGTCATTCTGTTGATAAAAATATTAAAACCATTTTCAAAATTTCAGGTTTGAACAGCAGCATGACAGCTCGTCTCCCTTTAGCAACCATCACAGAGCCACAGGAGAAATGCAAACTCCAAGTGACAGCCAGGCCCGGTGGTACACGCCTGTAATCCCAACACTCAGAAGACTGAGGCAGAGGACTGCTGTGAGTTTGAGGCCAGTTTGGGCTCTACAGTGAGTTCAAGGCCAGCCCAAACTACATAGCCAGATTTTGCCTCAAAAAACAAACAAAAAAGCCACCAAAAAACCAAGTGACATTTACAATCTTAACTGTGAAGAGGGCTGCCCAGTAGAAGAGGGGAAGACAGCAAAGATATCGGAAGCTACACGTTATCAGTGATATAATTTTTTAAAAAGTAGTGCTCACTTTGACAGCATACATGCTAAAATTGAAATGATACAGAGGTTAGCTTGGCCCCTGTGCAAGGAAGACACACAAATTCATAGAGCGTTCCATATTTTTTAAAAATAAATAAAATAAAAAGTAGTAATAGTTTAATTACTACTTAATTACCCCATCTTAATTTTAAGATGAGGACGAGGGAAAGGTGAAAGTTTTCAACTTAAAAAGGAAAGAAAAACCTGTAGACCGAGGCTTCTAAGATCTACAATACAATAAGATTATTCTGAGTCTACAAATATGACTTTTATCACAACAGACTTATAATTTTTCTATTTTCTTATTATTGTGTTAATTATTAACTATGTTAGTTACAGATGACACTTTCTTCCAGCTCTGTATGCAGAGCTCAGTACACCAAATGACTTTACTGTCTTAGAACACATTCCCTCTGAAAAATGAAAGCTGCAAATAAACAAAAACATTGTCTATTGTTTTATTCTTCATTGCTTTTTTCTCCAATCCAATTTTTGCAAAGTATATTGGGTTTTAGTGTTTAATTTTAGTGGTGTGCATTTTTAAACATGATTCATCAATTTCAAATGTTCTCTTTGAACATCTAATAATAAAAGACCAGAGTGGAAATAACAGCGGTCATACTAAAAATAATAACAGCTAATGAGTATGTATTATGTGGCAGGTATTCTTCTACCCATTTTTATTATACATTTATTAACAGGCTTAATACTATGAAACAGACGACACTAAAATTACCCACAGTTTAAAGATGCCATCCTAATCTTAAAATATATATATTTAGATATAAACACTTATATTTAATCATTATACATCAACCATGTTTGCTTAACTATATATATTGAAAGAAACATATCTATTTATTAAAAGGAAATCCATCAAAGATAAAATGATAGGGTCTAATGTAGTCTTTTCAGAAAAGATCAAATGGAGAAAAAAAAATCTTTCGAACAGAAAAAGTTCTAGTAGAAAAATAATGAACAAGAAGTAATAACAGTAGTATTATTATGGTAAAATGAAAGTATCTATTATAGTTAATAAAAAAACAAGGAATAGAGGCACACATAAATCACGTACCAACTCCCCACAATTAGTGTAATCACGTCTTGCAAATAGGAACTAAAAAAACTGTAAATTAAAAAAAAGTTCAAGTATATATGGAAAGACAACCAAGAACTGTGCAAAATAATATGGACAAACAGCCATTCCCAAAAGAGGAAAGGGAGGACTGGGAATTTAGTTTAGTGGTTCTAAAGCCTGCCTCACAAGAGCAAGGTTTTGAGTTTGATCCCCAGTACAAAAACAGAAAACAAAACAAAAGAAAGGGAAATGGGGATAAATTACATGAAAAGTTTTTTGTTTTTTGCTTTTAATGGAACAGGGTCTTGCTATAGAGTTCAGGCTGGCCTTGAACTCACTATTTAGTCTAGTCTAGCCTCAAAATAGCAGCAATCCTCCTACCTCAGCCTAATCCTGGGATTACAGGTGTGCGCCACCACACCTGACATGAAAAGATCTTTTACCACAGTGGTGATAAACTACTCTCTCTTACTCTCTCTCTCCAACCCTCTTCTCAAGGCCTAATAATCTGTCTCTAACTTTACATCTTTTTTTAAGTATACACATATAAGAGAAATAGTTCTGTAAATATTAAAACAGAAAAATATAGCTCTAAATTTATCAAGTCTACCAAAATGCATACTGTACTATATTAAGGTTAATTAGCTTCATTTTAGAATTATTCATGCTTCTGAAAAAGGGTGGACTCTTTATCAGCCTATCCTACTGTTAAATATAGAATTAACAGATGACTATGCACATTATCCTCCAATGATGACAAAAACTGGTAACTCAATTATTCCCCAGGACCAGTTACTCCATTCTGAAAAGTTCTATATTCCTTTGCTATTATTATACTCTCACAAGCTATCTGTATGAACACAGTAAGTCTTCCAGCACATATATCTTTCAGATACATAAAAACAACATGCTTACCTCATACAAAGTATTCTCCCCAGTATTTTTCATTAATTCACTTATGGCTTCATCTCTAAAACATTACTGTAACTATTGCTTGCAGACAATTAGCAACTCAGGTGCTACTCTATTGGGCACCACAATAGGTAGAAAAAGGGACCAAAAACATTTATAAAGTAATATATAGTGGGACATGAAGAAGGTTCAGGAAACATACAAGGGAAGGATTTCCAGGAACCTAACTTTATGTTCTTTGGATTTTATCTAATAAAAAGATTAAGAAAAATTCGAATAAATGTTTAAAGAAAAAGAAAAGAAATACCCTAAAATAAGGATTCAAAACAGAAAATACTATAACACAATAAACAAACAGCTTAACAGATGTGACATCATTGTCTATCAAGCATTAAGAAATACAAAGAAGGGGCCGGGGATTTAGCTCAGCGGTTCGGTGGCCCGCTTTGCAAGCGCAAGGACCCAAGTTCAATCCCTGGTACCAAAAAAAAAAGAAATACAAAGAACATAATGTAAGCTTTTTACCATTTTAATATATGTTACTTTGATATATTAGGTTGAAATTCAACAGCCGTGAATGGCAGGAATTGAATGACAAAAAATTTCAAATATAACCCTTATCCTGTATGAGTAGTCCTATGGGTTTTCATGTGGTAAGAACCCTGGGCAACATTCATGGATCTTAATGAAACAATTTGGAATGTGATTACAAATAATTAAGTTGCATGCCTAAGATCTTAAATTTAAGATCTGTGCCAGAATTGTAGAATTAACAGGAAAAACTAAGGCACTCTTTGCTAAAGATATAGACAGAAAAACTATCACGTAAAACACAGATGAAAAAATCAATTTAAAATCAATAAATCATATAAATCTATCTCAGCAATCATAAATATAACAAAATTTGAAAGTGAAGCAAATCTGAATGTGTTTTCAGTGCACGAATAGGGTTGTTTGTAACAGATAATGGGTGAGTAAATTATACCTACTGAATTAAGGTACAATCAGTCCTCTCATCTTTTTCTTCAGGAAGTCATTAATGCAAAGAAGAAAAAGGTTTAGCAATTATTTTAACTACATCTACATCTCTAGTTGGCTTAAAACATGACACGAACAAAAAGCAAAAGAGAGAGAGAAAACATGTATTTAAGAGGGTCATTTAAATAAAAGATAAGCAAATAGTAAAAATGGAATTAAAGCTATATAGCTATATTTTAATTTTAAGAATCAAATGATGTTAAATTATCTCTACAGTTCTTTGCAACACTGCTCATAATAATATGAATTTCAAATACAGTTTTCGAGAAGTCACATTATTTCATAGCAGATAATCTTAGAGCACCATCTTCTGGTATAATATCACCAAGCATAGTCTAAGAATCAAAAAATAACATGCTACTAGGCCAGTTTTAGTTAATAGTAAAACTTCACAGTTCATGAAATTTTAAAACTCAAAACACAATAAACTGAGTAACTTAATAAAGATATTCATTGTTAAGCAAGAGCAGAGGTCACCTACTATTTATTCTCATTAACATTTCTGTTTTGGGGAGAAAAAACTGAATTGAAGTCAAGATTTTGTAAAGGTTCAGAAAATAAAAAGCTGGGCTAGGGATTTAGCTCAGTGGTGCTGCTGCCTGCCTCACAAGCACAAAGTTCGATCCCAAGTACCAAAAAAAAAAAAAGGAAAGCTAAAAAACAATGTTTACCATATTAACAAAATATAGAAGTGATGGGTACTACCAAATACTAGCACATGGTAGCAAGGGCTACAAGAAGTAGTCCCGCTCACACCAAAGAAATGTGGAAGCAACTCTCAGTGAGAAGATTTAACACGTTCACAATGATGGTATGAGCCACCCAGTGCGATAGCTGTGCATGCACCACTGGTTGTTCAAGCAGGTGGGAACATGTTAAAACAGGCATGCAAAAGGGAGAAGGAAATAACAATGTAAACTGCTCTACAACAAGTCATAGAAAAATACATGACAAATAAATACACCTACAAACACACATATGGACTCACATCATAAGACAGAATCTTTAATGTTTAATTTAGTCCTAACTAGATATAAAGGAATAAACAGTACAGAGAAAGCCAACAATGGGTATTTGCTCAGAAGTCACTGTTTTAAGCTAAAGTTTAAAAATCTTCTTACTCTTATTAAGTCCCACGGTCTGCACTGAACATTTTTAAAATTTCTTTTAAACTAACTTAGGTAAGTCTGTTTACTATTTCTATTTTTCAGTTGAGATCATGGAAACTTTAAAGCTAACCAAGTTGCTAGCACACTGATATATTCAGAAAGCACATCAGTAAATTTAAAATCTGACTCTTTCACTGACTCCACAATTTGAGATTAGAAACATGCACAAATGTTTTTCAAAATTTAACTTCCATCCAGGGATTTAGCTCAGTGGCGCCACGCCTGCCTCACAAGTGCAAGGTCCTGAGTTAAAGACCCCCAATATTGGGGAAGAAAAAAATTAACTTCCAACACAGTACCACAATAGCCAACATTTAGATGTGTCAGACACTATTTTAACTCATTTAAACTTCATAATCCTCACAAAAGCTCAAAGATGACGAAACTTAAGCCTAGACATAGTCAGAACTTACTCAACACCTCTGAGTTATTAAGCTGCCAGAATGTGAACCATGTCAACAGGCTGCAGAGTCTGTGCTCCCACCCACAACTCTCTATTGCCTTCATATACATAGTTAAAGTCAAGTACAACTACAGAATGAGGACTCTTTTCCTTCAATGACAATCTAGGGAGACAGTGTACGACTTAGTGAATTATTTTACTTTGCTGTGCATAATGCCATCTGTTCTGACACCCTATAATGGTCTACTAAACAGAATACTATGAACATACAAAAAAGACATTATGGTTTAGTCTAGATTTTAATAAAAGAAAACTTAAATGTTAACCAACTTTCTGTATCAGTGACTTACCTTGAAATACTTCCTTCTCATTCGTGTCATGTTCATCAACATAACTCCAGAGTTCACTCCAGTTTTTCCATAGTATGGATGTCTGGCAAAGCGATTGTACCATCCTATTCGAGGCTCCTCATGTTCTGGTGCCATCGCAGCAATTTGTGTGGAATTAAATTTCTTTAGTAAAGACCAAATATCATCAACAGGTCGTAAAAACAGAATATCCGTGTCAACGTACAACAGTGAGTCAACTTCTTTCAGGATCAACTACAGGAAGAGATATTTGTTGAATTAACTATAATTCCATTAATAAAAGAAACTGTAATCATAGAAGACCTACTGAAGAGTTAAGCTCATTTACATTAATTTTTAAAGCAGAGTAATTTGCCCTAAATCTATCATTTACAGTATATCAGTATGCATAAAGATACTATCCTGACTCAACTTTTAAAGAAAAGCTAGGAAAAAACAAAACATAAAGCTTAATATCTGTAATTGGAATAAAACCTTAATCTCATGGATCAGGGAGGAAATATTTTTCATAATGGAAAACAATACTAACTTCAGGAGGATTTATATCTCAGATTCTAATTTCCTGAGGTAAATACAGAAATATATCAATACAAATGATGATCTGAATTTCTGCCCTCAGCCTGTAACACTAGCACTTTTACATTTTCGTATCAATTAGTTAAGTGGCTAGCACCAAAACAGAACCCAGACCATCCAGTTCTGGAGTCCACAGTCTTATTTCTATGCATATTATCTGCTAATAAATAACAGAAACATGTACTTGGCAAGGATGAAGACAAGAATTGCCTTTGCCAGGTGTGGTGGTGCACACCTCTAATCCCAGCACTCGGGAAGCTGAGGCAGGAGGATTGCTGTGAGTTCGAGACCACCCTGGGCTACATAGTGAGTTCCAGGTCAGTCTCAACTATATAGTGAGACCCTGTCTCAAAAAAAAAAAAAAAAAAAGAATTGCCTTAGCAGAGAGAAGTTAAGTCTCCAACATGTACATTCAGGGTAATCTTTATTCTTTCTTATCTACCAAATTTAGAATCTGATTCCTACAAATTTAATTTACTAGCTATCAGGGAATAATAGCAAGATTTAATGCTGAGATTAATCTATATCTTTTTATGTAAGAATATGGGAACAACAGCTTGATCTCCATTCTGCTACACTTTCCAAAGCTGCTACAACTTTAATCAACTGAAGCCACTGCCTCAATAGTAGCTACTAGACATAAATCGCCTCATTCCTCCCTTAGTTCACTCAGTGAACATAATGTCAGACTGAGGAAAAGTCTGATGGTTCACTGTAGAACCTGAGTAAGGATGTTCATTGGCTCTCAATGATCTCAATTAAAGGGGAATGATTATGTCTGTCTTGTTTTATTATGAACATTGTTTCTGTACCATGGTACACCATCTGTTCATAGACTACTATATTCTTAGCAAATAGGGAAGATGCTGCATGAAGCTTTGAGTTCACCTCTGGGAGCTAAAGCTCAACAGAAGTCAGACACATCGTTATACAATAACCGTGTCACTATTTTTCCATAGTTTGTTTTGGAGGAAGAAGACGGGGGCATAGTTTACTTTGGTCCTTTTCATCTATTTTAAAGGAAAAGCAGCTCAGCAAAAAGGTTTATCATTAGGAAAAATAAAGTATCAATTTACTTAAACCTGGTTAAAAAAAATGCACAAGTAATAATAAAGTATGAGAACAATCAGAGAGGTTTCAAGTACATGGTTCCATTTAGGAATTTAACCAGATCATATAAATAAGTAAGCTGACAAACTTCATAGTACAACATCAACAATTAAACTTGTCAGTAAAGTAGAACAAAATGACAGAGAAATGCCCATAATCTCATACTTTTCTTTAATCACTTGCTGTTTTTCTGGAGTTCATCTGCATGACTACTTGTTTAACAGCTTTCTCCTCCATAAGAGAGTGCAAAAAGCCTGAGCCCTGTCCTTCCCATTCATCCCTACACATAGCCAACTCTTCAGCGCAACTGACAGGCAGAAAATAAACACGCACTAATTAAATGAATGCGACACTGCAATAATTCAACATAATCTTATTTTTAAAACTTACAAAGCCTAAAATATTTTAACTTTTTTTTGCCAATCTCAGTCTCTTACTTGTGTGCTTTTTATAATGGAAAGGAAGACTGAGCAAGATTCTAGGATCAAACAATTTTAAGCACAGCATCAAAGATACTGGGTAGGCAAACTGGACTATTAGAATTGTAACTTAGCTCAGTGGTTCCGCACCCACCTCAAAAGCACAAGGTCCTGAGTTCAATTCTGATACCAGAAAAAAAATTGTAACTTAAATCTAACTGATATTCTGGATTTGGTAAACTATATTCTTAATATGCTAGGGTTGTTTTAATCCACTTAACAGTTACAAGAAACAAAGTTAGGGACAGATACTAAGCAAGAGCCCTACCACTAAGCTATACAGCTGGCCCCAAATATTTGTTAGCAAGATTTTTATTATAGCTTTTACCTCTCTATGGGAATTTTGTCCCATATTATTATATTTCCCAAATATTATTGTTTATTTAATTAAGCTTATGTAACTCTTCAGAAACTTAGGTAAATTTCAAATTCAAACAAATAAACAAAAAATCAAGAGGAAAAAAAAAAACTTACTGGCAAGAATAATCTCTGGGAAGCACATGGTTTAAAGAGCTTTTTCCACTCCACTGCATTCTCACTTGGAAATGTAATGGGATATAATGTATAATTAAATGTCTGTAGAAATGACCAGCTGTCAAGCTAAAAAAATAAAAATCAATTAGATTTGTCTCACTTTCATTTTTCCTGTAATATAATCCAACAATTAACAAAACAAAAGAGCTAAAAATTGCGACCACACACATTTTGTGTTGAACAGTTAGGGGCAAGATTTTCTTGTTTGCCAGTACTTTTATTTTCATTAAAATCTAAAAATCATAATAATATTTCAGTAAAACTTCACCATTAAAATTAAAGAAATAGTGGAAGTCATCAGAGTGAGTCAAAACATCAGAAAGCTGCAAGAACCTTGCAAACATTCATTCTCCGTAACTTTACCGATGCAAATTCTCTCAATCTCCACATAAATTAAAACCAGAAAAATTAAGCAAAATTACATTACCACAGTATATGATATAATAAAAATGTTGATATTCAAAGTCAAACTAATATAAATTTCTCCATTTATGCATAGTATTAATGTGCACTGCTATTCCTGATACTAAAATACTCTGGTAAATATATGATGTCAATTTTTTTAAAAATCATTACAAAAAGCAACATATCTAAAATCTATGAGACGCTTCAGTATCATGAATGCATCACAAGACACTGAACTGTTTAAAATTCAGTTAAGTATTACATATCATTGTTGCTTCTACAGATTGCCTCACTATGTTGCCCAAGCTGGCCATGAACTCCTGGGCTCAAGTGATCCTCATGCCTCAGCCTCCCAAGCAGCTAGGACCAGTCACAGGCCTCCAGGTCTGCTCTTAGAACTGCTAATTCAAATTATCTGAAAAGCACTCAGAAACAATCTGCAGAAGAAGGAAAAAAACTAAATAATTCATGTATAAGGCTGAAGAAAATCTCTTTTTGAGTTATGACTATAGTCAAGTAATTTTTAAAATAATATCTTTCAGCATAGTTTAAGGAAATACCTTTATCCCAATACTGTTTTAGTGTCTCTATTGCTTTAAGACTAGCACTTTTATTTTCCTTCCTGACTTATAAATCACTTAAATATCATTTTAATACCAAATTCAAAATGAAACCTTTGGCATTTGTCATTTAATACTTTGTTACTTTTACTATTAAAAACATGTTCTATCAAATATTTGAAATCATTCATCAAAAGTAAAAGCCAATTCTGTTAGTGTTGATTATTAAAGTCAAAGAAGATCCAAATTGAAAACGAAAGTACAAAGGATGTTTTATTTATTTATTTTTTGGTACTGGGGTTTGAACTCTGGTCCTTGTGCTTGCAAGGCAGGTGGTGGAACCACTGAACTAAATCCCCAGCACATTTTTTATTACATTTTTAAAGGCTTTTACAGTTAGTTACTGTTACTATTCTTTCATAGTTAGCAACCTGTTACTATTCTTTCAACCTCTCAGACAAAATTAATTCCTCTATTATTTTATAAAAATCTCAAAAAAGAGATCAAGATTACAAAAATACATACATTTGGAAATATTTTTAAAGTTTAAGTAAACATTTCTACCTTTTAGAATCAAAGATTTTGGCAGACCTGAGATAACAAGGTGTATTTTTTCCAACATCCAAAATGAACTTAAAAAAACAAAACAAACCTGTTTTTAAAACTTGGACCATGTAGAAAAATCCAAGTCAGTTTGAATACTTGATTTAGTGGAGGAGAAGAGTTAGTAACATCATCTCTACCATCATCTCAGAACACAAGGTAGTGAGATTTCATGCAAATTTTTTTCTCTTCTATGTTCTCTTCTCGGCCTCTAATCTCCAATTCTTGAATTAAAATTTTGTTGTTGTTAAGGAGGTTACAAAGCTACCCTGGTTAAAAAGTATATTTCTATCCTCACAAACACCTAGGTATGGTCATATGACTAAATTGAAACCAATGGAATATTGGCAGAAAAGTCACGACTACCTGTGTACAATTTCCTTAAAGAGAAGGAAGACGCTGTCCTTCTCTTAGGGTGGAATGAATACAAATGTAATGGCAGGATCATGAATAGCTATCTTGCACCATGAGGAAGAAGCCTCATGTTGAAAATGGGCTCAGCCGTGCTGAGGTTGCAGCTGAGAAATAAAGCACTTTCTTAGCATCACCAGGCCGTGGTTTAATTCCTAGTATCAAACAATGGGAAAGAAGAGAGGGAAAGGGGGGAGGGAAGAACGGAGGGAGGAAGGGAATGAGAGAGAGAGGGAGCAAGGCAGAGAATGAAAGAGAAAGGAAGGAAATGGCTCAGACACAATCAGAAAAAAAATAGTTCATAAGGATGAAGATCTGCCATGTAACTCACTGTGCCTACTTTTAAGTGAGAAAGAAATAAAATCTTACTCTTACATTCTAGATCTCGACACAAGATGAAAATTTACAAGAAACATTCTCCACCCTCCCAAAGAAGGCAGAGTACAGACTACACAATCTTGATCAAGGTAATAATAAAATACTCTATTAAAGCACACCTAAATATTTAACTCTCCAGCCTTAAGTCTCTATAAATACTTACTCTAGCTTTAAAGCTATCATGCAGTTGATCTTCAGCAAAAATATGGAAGTGAAGAGGTTTGATGCTAAAAATGAGAGCTGACTTCAACATGGTCACAGTTTCTTCCAGTCTTTCACCACAGGCAACCACAGCAAGGTGCATTTTCTCAATAGGCTGTATTTTTAAACTATACCTAATGGAAAAGAAAAACACATTTTCTAACAGCATTAGCACATGTCTACATAATGTGTTATTTTCCCCGTGTTAAAAAACAGAAGTTCAGGGCCAGGGATTTAGCTCAGTGATGCCACTGCCTGGCTCCCAAGCATAAGGTCCCAAGTTCGATCTCCGGCACCAAAAAAAAAAGTTCAAACCAGGTGTGGGGGCACATGCCAGTAATCCCAGCACTCGGGAGGCTGAGGCAGGTGGATCACTGTGAGTTCAAGGCCAGCCTGAACTAGAGAGACCCTGTCCCCTGTCTGAAAGAAAGAAAAAGACAGATGGGGGTGGGGCATGAGTTCAAAACTTTAAGAAGCAAAGATACACCAAACTACAAAACATTATAATGCTGAATCAAGCATGTATTTCTATACTATCAGTAAGTCTTTCTCGACCAATGCGTCTCAGTAGGGACCACTCAACACACAAAAAAAGGATCACTTTCTCCACCCTCCCAAGAGCAGCACCATGGTGGCTGCATAGGAGAAGAGTTAATTCATGACTCATGCTTGGGGCAAGAGGGCTTAATTCGCTCATGAAACAAAATTTCAGTGACCTGAAAGTCTTCCGTTCAATTTTTTTAAAAAAGAATTTTAACCCATTGTTTTGCTTTTTGTTTTTTGTTTTTTTGTTTTTGTTTTTTGTTTTTTGTTTTTTTTGGTACCAGGGATCAAACTCGGGACCTTGTACTTGCAAGGCAGGCAGTCCTGGAACCACTGAACTAAATCCCCCAGCCCTTTAATACATTCTTATGTCAACTAAAACCCCTTCCTACACCATCTACAAACCAACAGATCACTCTGAAACAAATCATCATAATTTTATCCATAAATACCTCAAAAAAATCTGGTCTTAAAACTATGCTGATTTATAAGAAATTTTCTTCACATAGTTTTTTCACTGACACACATTCAGTTCCTTTTATTAAATATTCAGTAAGATATAAACATTTATAAACATGATTGAAAACGCAAGAGCAGAACACTGTCACATCTTGTTGGAAGAAAAACCCCAAGGCCCAGTGATGGCATGGGCTTCGTTTGCATGGAGCAGCAGTGCAGCCAGAGGCTGCAGGAGCCTGCACATCTCACTGCACTGCTACTCAGTGCCGGCTGGGATCTTCTGAAGTCTCTCTTCATTTCCAAGACAGCCCCAGCTGGAAGTGGTTCCTCTACCCTCAGATGCACGTTCCACCCCTTCTCTTCCTCTCTCTTCCATTACACTCATCAATTCCTAAACACAGAAACCATTATCCATAGAGGGAGCTTAGGCTTATCTCTGACGAGGGGCACATGATTCCAGCTTATCTCCACCACAGTGACACAAGTTAAGGAAAAGTCCATCAAGACATCACAGCAACGTGATGGAACCTTCCCAGTCACTCACTGCCTCCAACGCCCACTTCTCGGGGTGGTAAAAATGCCTTCATTAAAATATCACGGTCTTTGAATGTCTTATAGGCTTATCTGGCCTATAACTAGATCCTACAACATCAAAAGCCAAAAAAAAAGATTTAAAAACAAACTGTATCAGTCATATGCTGTTTTCCTCAGAATCCTCTATGTACAGAGATAAGGAGTACAATAAACCTGAAGAAAGAAAGCAAAATGTTCCTCAAGAGGAAAATAAATTCCTCTAAAATCAGTTTCAGGAGCTCCTTCCAGGCGTTTTAGCAAGGGCTGCTTTAGTCCTGCTACCAGAGCTCTTTTTACCAGTTCCTAACAGGGACACAGTCAAGGACAGTGAATTTGCTTTTCTCATAAATGTCCCATTTAAAAAAAACATTAGGGGCCGGGATTTAGCTCAGTGGTTCGGTGGCCTGCCTTGCAAGCGCAAGGACCCAAGTTCAATCCCCAGTACCAAAAAAAAAAAAAAAAAAAAAAAAAAAAAACCATTATATGTGGTACAGACTCCAACATGTAAACTGACAAAAGGAAACACTTTAGAGGGATCTCTGCCTACCATGCTTGTTTCTAGATCCCAAGGACAGGAAAATCAACTGTAACTCAATGAAATCTAAAGTAAGCTTCTGTACTCAGGAGGCACTAACTAAAACCTAAACAGTCATGGGGATTTAGTCATTCAGATAATTTCAGCCCCAAATGAATGGTGTAATCTTGTCAGGGACTCTAAAAATGTGCTATATTTTAATCACAGTATGAACTATGGATTGAAAGAAATGTTATCCAAACGGACAGTTTAAAGTCAAATCTGTTTTTCTGTAAGATCAGAAGAAATCTTTCAGATTCTTCAAAACATTACTAGCGGGCTCCCAGAGTTGAAGGTGGCATAACCTGAGCATCAAAAGTGTGACTGTAATGAGCCACACATTAAATTTTAAAAAATGAATCCATAATTGTAAAATAATTGTAAGTAAAGGAGTTATGGAGAGAGCTCTTCTTTAAAAGTGAACAATAACCAATAAATAAAGAATGAATTACAAAAATCACTATTTTGCAATCATCTCTGTAATAATCTGGATTTAAAACCACATAGAAACAAGCATTTTCTCATGTATTAAAAGGGGATAAAGATGCTACTACTGTGTAGAAACATGAGAAAGTCATCCTAACTGCATGATAAACTTAATAATATTAAGCATGACATCAGCTGGTTCCTGAATGACCAGAAAACAGATCTCCTATACAGCAAAACTACCAAAATCCTCAATCTAATCATTAAGGGGAAGATTCAAATTAGGGACCATTGTGCTGAACAAAACAAAAATACTATGTAACAAAAGACAGTATTAACTGTACCCCTATAGTTCTAGAATAAAGGAGGCTAACCTAGATCCAACAACTAAATGCAGTGTAACTTTCGACTGGACCCTGAATGCACATGAAAACACCTAAAAGACTCAACAGGAAAATAAGGAAATATAAACAGGAACATATAATCCATCAGTGCTAAACAACTTGAGGTAAAATTTTACGACAGTCACACTAGAAAACATCCCTGTTCTCAGGAGACACATGCTAAATATATATATATACATATATATATATATATATATATATGTATATATATACGTATGTATATATATATATATACATATACATATACGTATATATATATCATGGCTGCAGCTGTCTATGGAGAGAAAAAAAGTGTCAAAATGTTACTAGCAAGTAAAGTCTAGAAGAGTGTACGATGTGCCAATTGTAATATTCTTGTAGCCTTCACATGAGTGAGCCCTAACAAAGTAAAATGTTGAGTGGGGTAAATCAGGAAAAGAGTCCTTAAAGAATGTTTTGAATAACAAATTCTAATACTAATACTACGAATGGATTTTTAAGGCTCAGAATATCCTCTTTAAGTAAATTTCTGCTATATAGTAATTAGAACTCCCCCACACACATCCCTTTTTGAGACAGGGTATCACTATGTAATTCAAGCTGAAACTTGAACTCACATTGCTGGAACTCATGCCAATCCTCAGCACACTCCACTACACCTCGCTACTGTTCTTTTTTTTTAACAGCATGAATATATTCCACTTTGTCTTTCTAGCTTATTATTAGACTCCCTAAAACTCATATAACATTTAGAATAGCATTTTAATGAATAAATAAAGTCACACTAAGCAAATTAAGTTTCAAATAACAATCTCACCAACAAATTACTACCATGAATGCAGCCCCCTCCTCCTGAGCCACCCCCAGAGGGAATGAACTTGGGGTTTCTGCTCTGAGCTACATCCCCAGCCCTTTTTCACTTTTTTTTTTTTTAGACAAGGTCTCCCTAAAGTTACTAAATTTTCCGGGATGGGTTCAGACTTCGGATCCTCCTTTCTCAGCTGGAATGGTAGGCATGCACCACCACGACCTGGGTCCATGAATGAAAACTTTGTAGTTGAACAAACCAGAAAACTGTGTTTTAAAACACAGTAATTTCTTTAATGTACGGCTTTTTAAAAAATTCCCTTGCACTGTAAAGAGTTGTGTTATTTTGCTAAATTCTAACATAACTACAAAAAAAAAAAAAAATGAAAACTGGTATTTTGTTCATGAAAACCACTTCTAAGCCCTGCTGGTGATCAAAACATTGTGTTACACCATCTATTAAAAGAAATACAAAAGAAAACAATCTTTTAAAATAAGTTGCACTGAATTACACTACTTCAAAGAATCGAAAATAAATCACTTTCAAAATATGAAACCTCAAAAAGAAACCTCTAAGATTTTACACAAAAGCATAAAAAGAAAAGCTAAAAATTCAACATGAAAAATAAACATTAACTTATAAGATATAAATTAAAATAATCCATAAAAATATATCTCTTAAAACTAGTATGATGGAAGGACCAGGGATTTAGCTCATTGGTTCTTTTGCCTGCCTTGCAAGCGCAAAGTTCCATCCCTGGTACCAAAAAAAAAAAAAAAACTAGTACGATGGACCAGGAATGTAGCTCGGTGGCACAACGCCTGCCTGACAAACACAAGGCCCTCCGCTGATTCCCTGTACCAAAAAATAAAGTATGACAACATGGAAGAAGACAATACTACTAACATTAAATCCACTTATGACCACAGAAGATTACATATTTTAAAGAGCTATGTTTTTTTAAAGAGCTAATTTTTAAAAGTTCAAATCACAGGGCCGGAGATTTAGCTCAGCAGTTCGGTGGCCTGCCTCGCAAGCGCAAGGACCCAAGTTCAATCCCTGGTACAAAAAAAAAAGTTCAAGTCACAGAAAAATTAGTATATGAGTATTTTATAACAATTTTTAAATTGAGTTTGCATAATGACAAAACGAATTAGGAAAATATCAATGGCAAAAATGGAGCATACTGTTCTAAGAGTTCACAAAATAACCATTAAAAACTTGGTAGGAAACAAATTCAATGAAATAAATCAATAATAATTTATCATTTTACCCTAATATGTGGTAAAATGATAACTGCCAATAGTAATGCAAAAGATTATGGTGAGGGCCAGGGGTATAGCTCAGTAGTTCCACCGCCTGCCTTGCAAGTGCAAGGACCCGAGCTCAATCCCCAGTACCAAAAAACAAAAAGGTTATGGTGATCCCAGTAAATCCATTTAATGCAAGTACAGGCTTAAATCTCTAACTGCATAGTCCCTAGAAAACAATTTAATGACATAATTCAATCTTTTCACAAACATTTGAATTTTTATAAGTGGCATATAAAAAGCAAGGTGGATACTTTTACAAGAAGTTTCCTGGCAAAGAGAAAGAGAATAAACAGGTGATACTAAAGAAAGAGTTGTGAACAAGTTCTTGAGGAGAGTTTGTGTTTGGCTTGGTTTTAAGAATAAAATACTCAGAAGAGATGAGAGCAAACAGAAAACACAGTAAATGCAGATACAAATTATTTAAGTTCTAAATACAAGGGAAAAGATCTAAGCATAAAAGGCTTTCTGAAACTCAGTGGTATGGCATACAGTCATTAGTATGGTAATTATGATACTGTTCCTTTCATGGGAAAAGTATCAAACTTTTAAACTTAGAAATATAACAATGAAAGCATAATGTGTATACAAATGATGAAAACACTTATGATAGAAGGTGTGGTTGTTTTTGTTTTATGTTTGCTGCCTAATAAATCAATTGGGAGGAAGTGACTCCCCTTTAAGACCTGATCAAATTATATAATGAATTCAAACTGGTAAAGTTAGCTCTTAGAAGAACACAATGCCTAAATAAGGGCCCCTGGTACCAGGTATAACATAACATCAAAGACGATAGTAACAGGAATTACTCCTTCTTCCTTTGGTACTAGGGATTAAACCCAAGGCCTTCACACTGAGATACATACCCAACCCCTTCCTAATTTTAATGTTGAAACAGACTCTTGTTAAGTCACTAACTTGTCCAGGCTGTGCTTGAACCCATGATCCACTGCCTCAGCCTCCCACAGTGCTAGGACTACAAGTGTCCACTACTGCGCCTGGCTCCCTAGAGTAGTCTTGAAGTCAAGGAAGAAGGAAGACTATGATTATTCATGCTGTGATTTACAAAAGGTCAGCCTTTTATAAATCAGAGCACACAGAAGTTTTCAAGTTTACCCAGGTTTCAATTAAAGGTTGCAAGGCAAAGGGTACCTGTTTACCATTAGCAAATTTTCTTAAGAGTAAAAAATATGAAGTCCTAATTTTCAAAAATTATAAGCAAACTGAATGCTAAGATTATCTGTTCTTTTTTTTACAACTGGACCAAATTTCCTTTTTTTAAGTACATGCAATTGGTATCTTTTGAATATCTTTATGTCACCTTGACATCATTGTTTTCCCATCCTATAGCATGGTGGTGAGTTTCTATTTGTTCAGATCTTGATTTGTGTTTTTTTGTTGTAAAGTTTATGTTTGTGATACATAATGCTTAATATCTGTTTGGGGGAATTGGTACATATATCATTCCTTGATCAAACAAATCTTTAAAAGTTTTTTAAAAATTGGAATATTCTTACTTGGGATGGTCCATAGTAATATTTTAACACCCATGTAATTAAAATATCTAATTTCAATTATCCCCTATTATTTGTTCATGGAATGAATAATATAATGAGAATACAAGAATTTTAAAATTACATGTAATAAACAGAAAGAATGCAGCTCTTAGAGAACTGAATAGAACAGTGGATACCAGAGGAAAGTAGTACAGACAGAAGGAATATGTTTTCAAGGTACAAGCACATCAAAGTGACCACAACTAACAATAATGTTTATTTCAAAACTGCTAAGAAAAAGACCACATATCACTACAAAGATACATATGTGAGGTGATGGAAACAGTAACTTGATATAATTATTTCATACCAGACATACCACATCGTACCATATGAAGAAAACATTAGTTTAAATAAAAGTTTAAAATTTAAGAATTTTTAACTGCAATGCTTCCTACCTAGAACCCCTGACCTCCTGTCCTTGAACCTGGCTAACTTCCTCCGTCATCTACATGCTCCCTATAGAAAGCCTTGGCTGATGCCTTAAGATGATTCCTCATAGCTACAACTTGGTCAGCTTCTGCTATAATCTCAGGTTAACTACTGTAAACATTAGAACATAGCTCCAGAAGGATGGAACTACATTAACCTGACTCAATAATTTGATGGTTAGCACATAGCAAAGTGACAAATAGAACAGAATTAAAATTTAAATGAATCATAAAGATGGATGATTTGCAAAAATATTTACTCTGGGAAAGGGCATTTTAGGCTGACTAACCCCACACTCCCCTCCGGGAGACAGTCTGAGAACCACTGCCTGATCTCACTCCTATAACAAGTTATTTCTTACTGAATGAATATTAGAGCAAGAAGGAACCAAAGAAGTCAGCTGATCCAATGCCTCATTTATTCAGATGCAACAAAGCCAAACAATTTAGTAACCGACAAATAATGTCATGTCATGTGCTCCTTTATAAATCTATATATTTTAACCCTTCCATTCCAATAATCAATCTAACAATTAATATATTTTCATACTTCTCCATCCACCAAAATGTTTCTTCAGTACACTAGCTTTAAATTAGATAAATGAATATATGTATAAATTAATCATAAATTCCCCTAAGAATGGTTCATCTTAACATCTATAAATCTTTTAAAGCATTTATTTATATACGCAGAATGTACTAAAAATAGTGATAACTATAAATGAGTAAAAGGAACAGAAAACCCAATGAGAAAATGCATTCCTTACTTGTATGATAATGTTAAATTATAGAAAAAGCAACTTTTATATCCTATTACAGCCAAATCTTTTATTACTTACTAATCTTACCTACACTGATCTACTATTTAAATACTAAGTGCCTACCTAAATGCAGCTTCCCAAAAGCAGTTCATTCCACAAACATCAGAGGGCAGCATCCAATAGGGATTCCAGTAACACAGAGTGGACGCTTTACACCTGACAGGGTGAGACAGAAATAAGAGTCCTATGTGAGTACTTTAGTTGAAAACTAACAAGACAGTCACTAACAACATACTGTTCTTTACAGCAAAAAAATTGTAAATCCATGTTACTTTTGGTAACTTGACTTTTTTTTTTTTTTTTTTAGAAAACTGCTTTCTCCTAACATCAGGAGCTCTCTTGACATATTAAGAACTTCCTCAGGTGGCACACAAAATACAGTATGTTTAAATTTTTTTCTTCATAAACTAAGCATATTACCCTAGGACAAATCCTTTTTTTTTTTTTTAAGTGTGCTTATACTGAAACAAAATAAAAAGATCACAAATACTGGCAGAATGGGAAAAAAAGACCGCTATATACTTTTATATTAATTTTCAACCCCAGCTCTCTGTATGGTGTTTTGAACTAATAAAAATAAGAAATCATGCTGACAGTCATGGTTCAGCTCATTTTTATTTTTATTTTTTGGTTCCAGGGATCAAACTCAGGTCCTTGGACTTGCGAAGCAAAGAGACAGGCAGTGGAACCTCGGAGCTAAATCCCTGGCCCTCAGCTCATTTTTATATTATCTAGGTTCACTGCATTTTACAAGCTAAATCAAAAGGTCAAATATGGTCTTTTTTCTTAGGATGAGGTTAGAGCTAAGAGAAAAAAAGAAAAACCCTCATGTTACAAAAAAAATATTTTTCGTTTTCATTCCTTTTCAAAACAAACATCTAAAATTCACTACAGATGGGGCCTGGGTATGAAAATAAGACTGTATGAAGTCTGGGAGAGTCACTAACCTAGGCCACTTTACTGTCTCAGGACCATGCGCTTTGTTTTTTCTCACTATAAATCGTTAGTTATCATTCTTAAATTAAAAGGTCTATGAAATTTTAAATTTGCAAAAACCTGTGATAACACCTCTCCCAAATGTCAACAGTCTAAGGCAGGAGTTCTGAACCCCGAAAGCAGAATAAAAATCAGAGAGCCCCATGCCAGACTTATTAAATCAGAATCTCTGGGAAAAGAGCCCCATACTGCTGGTTTTTAAAATGCTATTAAGTAATTCCATACATTATTGCACAAAGAACTACAAAGTTAAAAATTAAATATCAACAGAAAAAAGCTGCATTGTAATATGGTTTTCCTTTGAAGGACAACATTTTCTAGCACAGCACAAAGTTGTTTACCTTAATTTAAAAGGTTGATAAGTCAAGAAAAGAAAATGTACATAACAATAAAACCTGACTTAATTATCAGAAAATCTGCACTGTCCTTGGCACAGTTATGTATGTCTAAAATATCACAATTAGCCGGGGATTTAGCTCAGTGGTTCGCAAGCACAAGGTCCTGAGTTCAATCCCTGGTACCAAAAAAAAAAAAAAAAAAAAAAAAACAATTAAAGTATCACATTTAATACTAGGAAGTCAAACTTAGTGGTTAGCAACAACAACTAACACTTACATAGTTCTTTCAAATTCAAGTGCTCTCTGATCCATTTGGCTTCACAACAAATGTGGTAGGGTAACTATCTTCATCTTTCAGATACAGACATTATCGCAGTGTTATTTCAACAAATCCACAATTTACAATCAATATTAATTAACATGTACCTTTGTTCCAGGATAATTACAACTAAATTGTTTTATATCCTCTGTCAATCTCTTCCTACAGTGGAAGATGGAAATTCAATTTTTCTATAAAAATTACTTGAAATTATATATTGGTAGCAATATCATATGTTTCATTTGTTTCACATCCTAAGTTTTACTTTGTCACAAAACAGCTCTGTGATGTGTAGTTTCACACATCTGCCTGATCCTAAATTCACTTCTTAGAAATACAGATAAAGGATCTGTTGCAGGCCTAGTTAATCAAGAATCTCCAAGGCCAGGGATTTACCTCAGTGGCACCACACCTGCCTTGCAAGTGCTAGGTCCTGAGTTTGATCCCCAATACAAACAAACAAGAGAGAGAGAGAGAGAAGTCAAGTCTCCACTTAAGTGGCCTAAGAAGCTGAACCTTGTGACATGTGGCAGCACCCCTGAGCTAAATCCCCAGCCCCAGAAGCTGAATTTGTAACCCGTGACACAAGGTAAGACTTAAGGTCAGACCTGAATGAGAAACTATATCAAGGGGCATCAAGAGTAAACTCAAGCTGGGCATGGTGATGCATGCCAGTCACTGTAGCATGTGAGAGGTTGAGGCAGTAGGACCTTGAATTTCATGTCCTAGACTATATAATGAGACCCTGTCTCAAAAAAAACAAGAGGACTAGGGATTTAGCTCAGTGGGGCCACTGCCTACTTCACAAGCACAAGGTCCCAAGTTCAATCTCCAGTACCAAAGAAGAAAAAAAAAAATCAAAGCAGAGTTTTTAATCAAAAGCATTGATACCACCCAGATATGCTGTCCCAGGTTTGTAATCCCAGCACTCTGGGAGCCTGAGGCAGGAACAGCACAAGTTCAAGCCCAGTCTAAACAATTTAGAGACTAATCAAGATCCTGTCTCAAAATGGAAAATAAAAAAGCCTGAAGTTTAGCTTAATGTAAAGGCCCTGGGTTCAATTCTCACTATTGAAAAAAACAAATGAATGAACAAAGTCAAAACACTGATGCTCACTGACCTAACATACAAACACAATGCCATGAGGCATAATCTAAGGTTCTATCCCTAACATTACCAAAATCATTTTTTACAAATGCTTCAACAGACAGATAATAAAATGTACTATCTACACCCAATGGAGTAATGCCATAAATAATAAACTGAGTCACTTGTACAAAAATGGCTATACCTAGAGACAGTAATGTTAAGTGAAATAAGTTAGACACACAAGCTTAAATACTACATGGCTTAGCTTATGTGAGAAACTCAAAATGTAAGTAGGGAGACAGATCTTTCTCAAACGGAAAGGCATCAAGAGATGGTGGGAGGGGGAGGGACAGGCAAGGAAGGGGATGAAACAATTAAGATGTGTTATATATATGTACCAGCCTTCCACAAGGAATATAGACATTATGTACTACAAAAAGGTACTAATAAAAAAATTTTTAATCAAATGCTTCAATAAAAAATGTTTAGTAAGCACAATTCATAAAATTTTCAAGACTAATAAATCACCCACCACTAAAATTTTGATGCCCAAAACTTTTAAATGCCTACCTACCACAAAATTTGACTAGAAAGAGTTCATGTGCCCACAGTCATCATGTAGAAGTTACTGAAACAGCTTAAACTTCATTGCGTATCAAGTAACACCACAGTGAGCTGATAAGCACACTTGAACTCTCTATCCCCAAGTATATCCTTCAGACAGATTCTAAATTTGGAATCCTCTAGGTATTACAATTAAACTCCAAGGCAAATTTTAACCAAGTTTGTACAAGATGGATAAATCACAGACTTGAGGATAAAATTCAGTAAGATCAATGTACTAGACAACTGAATAGTGAGTATTAAGTCAGGTAGGGTGGCACATGTCTATAATCCCAGCATTCTGGGAGGCTGAGGCAGGAGGATCCCCAGTATGAGCCCAGCCTGGGCAACTTTGTGAGACACTGTCTCAAAATAAAAAAATAAAAAAGGGCTGGGGATGTAGCATGCTTTTGGGTTCAATCCTCGGTATGGGAAAAAAAATCTTGTGAAGATTTGGTCCACACTAAAAGCCTTGAATTTTTGCTACTGTCAAATCAGGTGCCAAACATAATGGGTTGAAGATGGTCACAAGGGCCCAGGAATTAGCTCAACAGCACACACGCCCCTTGAAAGCTCAAGGTCCTGAGTTTGATCCCTGGTATACACACACACACAAAAAAAAGGATGGTTACAGATGCTCTGGCAAAAGACAGGGTGTGTGACAGTTTGTGTCTAAATGTCCCTTTAAGGGCCTCATACATTCACATAAGCGGCACTTCAGGAAGCTTCCTGTATAATGGAGGCCTACAGCTGGTCAGAAGAGGAGGGACACAGGGAGCATGGCCCGGAAGGGTTTACCCACTTCCCTGCCACTCCCCCACTTGTTGCTTCTAGTCCGCCATGCCATTCTGCCTTGGAGCCAGCCAACTATAGACTGAAACGTGAGCCAAAATAAAATGCTCCTGACTTAAGCTGTGGGTGTCAGATATTTTCTCCCAGCTACAAGGGAAGTAAGTAACTAGGACAGGCTGGTTTCCCCACACCCAGAACAGAAATGGGCTCTGACTCCTTTGACAAACTGGGGTAGAATACAGTGCCAATGTCCAGGTCCTTGCCTTAAAAGCATGGCATCTGTGCCACATTCTGTTTTTTGGAACAGCCTTTGAACCCAAATTTCCATGTTGCAAGGATCCCCAGGGCCTTACAGAGAAGTCACCTGACAGGACATAGGTCCACAGGCCCAGCTGATGTCTCACCCCAAAGCTAGCACAAACTGCCAACCATGGGAAAGGACCACTTCCTGCACCATTTCCATCTTCCAAATGCTGGGTGCTCCCCGAACAGTCAGTACTCTAACTCAGTACTCCTCTCAACACCAAATTCTACTTCCCTCTATGCACCTACTCAATAACTTAATAAATTACCTATTGAATAACCACATGCACAGGCCAAACACTGCAAAAGCAACAGTGAAGATGTGGGCAGAACTGACAAGCGAGTAATGATAAAGCATCATCTTGGATATTACAATATAGGAGACCTAACCCACACCCAACCCCACAATTCTTCACTTTAGATAACTTGTACTTACTCTTCCCTTCAGTTAAAGAGAGCAAATCCTGGACCTCGTCATTACCTGAAACTGTGATCCTAAAATCCAGCACCTCTACTCAAAACAGTCGCTCATCTCTTCATTCTCTGTATCACATTACAGTTATTCCAGTTGTGTAAGCACAGGTTCCCGCTGATACTCCGCAATGACAAACATTTCAGAGATGAGTGCCAAAGTGTCGACACTGCAATTAAACCCAAACACTAAGATTTTAATTTAGAAAAACTGACTCATAGATTAACATCTTTTGTCTTAGTTGTTTTGTTTTTTTGAGATAGGGTCTTGCTATGTAGTTCAGGGTGGCCTTGAGTTCACTCCACAGACCAAGATGGCCTCAAACTTTAGGCAATCCTCCTGCCTCAGCATTCCAAGTGTTAGGATTACAGGTGTGCACCATCACACCCCGCACCTCTTTTGTCTTAGAAGAAAAACAAGTAGGGCCAGGGATTTAGCTCAGTGGCACTGCTCCTGCTTCATACGCACAAGGTCCTGAGTTCGATCCCCAGTATTGAGGAAAAGAAAAGAAAAACGAAACGAAACGAAACACACATGAAACAGGCTCACCTGTTTAGTCTATAGCTAGACTATACTATATGGTTCATCCACTCACACTCCTATGTCCATCTACACTCATTCTTACAACATACTTTTCCAGTAAGATCACAAGTGGAAGCAAGCTATGCACTCACCTCCTCAGGTGACTACTGAAGAATGAACACAACTAAGCTCATTAGTAGAAATTCTTAGGGCCGGGGATTTAGCTCAGTGGCTCCACCAGTGGCCTGCCTCTCAACTGCAAGGTCCAGAGTTTGATTCCCGGTTACAAAAAAAAAAAAAGAGTATAAATTCAGTCTCCTCCTCAGCTTCAGGCCTCCCATCAACTCCATATGCATTCACCTGCTCTAGGCTGCCCATCCTCTCAGGGGTTCCTAAAGACCTCCTGGCACCAGTCAGCCCTTATTTCTCCTTAGTAGCCATTAACTCTCTGCTGCAGACTATTGTAATTATTCATCCCCCACCCTTCACTGTAAAAGGGTTGACATTCTGCTCATTACCGTGTGAACTGCCTGTCACTGAAGGAGAAAGTATATACCCCAGCCTCGTGCACTGACTCTGACCTGATTCAAGTGACTTGCTTGGCCAAAGGAATGTGACCAAGTCACCACATCAGAACAGAAGCATCAAACAGGACTGTGAATTTCAATCTAGCCTCTCACTCAACCATGTCAAGAAATTGGACAAATCCAATGCAAGGATGGCTTCTTCCTTTGGGTCCCAGAATGAGAAGATACACAACACAGTCACAGCCATGGACGACTGACAAGCAAAAAACAAATATCTGGTGTTAGAAACTTAAGATGTTTAGAGTTGTTACAAATCAAAACAATGATCTAATTTCCTTTTAAAGAATGCAATTTAAGGGCCACGGATTTAGCTCAGTGGTTCAGTGGCCTGCCTTGCAAGCTCAAGGACCCAAGTTCAATCCCCAGTACCAAAAAAAAAAAAAGAATACAATTTAATAGTTTTTAGTAGACACCAATTCCACTCCTAGGTTCTATATATTCTCAAGAGAACTGAAAACATTTATGTTCACAGAAAAACTATATGAATATTCGTAATTCTAGTATTAAGAGCAGACAAAAAAATCAAATGCCTATCAGCTAATGAATAAACAAAATGGGGAATACCCATTCAATGCAATATTATTGTTAATAAAGAGAAATGAAATGCAGTGATCCTTGCTACAGCAGACGAAGCCTGAACACAGACAGTCAAAGAAGCCAGTCCCAAAAGTCACAGTCTGTCTGGTTCATTTATCTGAAATGCCCAGAACAGGCAAACCTATGAAGACAGGAAGGTTTGTGGTTGCCTAGGGGAAGGGTATGGAGAAATCAAATAGTGACTCACTGCTGATGGATACAGGATTTCTTTATGCAGACAGAACTGGCCAAGAGGGATCAAGTTTTACATGTTTCTTTCTTTTTTTTGTTTTGTTTTGTTAGTCAGTCTGTCTGGTTCATTTATGTGAAATGCCCAGAACAGGCAAATCTATGAAGATAGGAAGGCTTATGGTTACCTAGGGAAAGGAGATGGAGAAATGGCATGGTGGCTTACTGATGACGGATACAGCATTTCTTTATGCACACAGAACTGGCCAAGTAGGGTCAAGTTTTACGGAAGTTTCTTGATTATAATTCCATACCAGAAAGCACATAGTGTTTGTGTGTATGATATTTTTATTTATTGGGAATATAAGAGCATATGCACTATAGAATATATATGTGCTACTTACAATATTTTTTTTAAATCATCAAACACTGAGGTACTGCTGACAAGAAGTGAGATTATTTGTTTAGTTTCTTAATTCCTAAACATCCATTCTCCCACGTATGAAAAAAATGGCTCCAGAGATTAAAAGAGAAAGTAGAAACTCACATTAAAAACTCATATACCTATGTTTTTAGAAGCAAAAAGGAAAAGCAAACAATATGAAGACAACAACAACTGTACCTTCAGAGATGCAAAAGCCACAACAAATACAAGGTTCAAAAATACCAGAAAAATAAAGACAGTCATCCAAGTTCTGGTTATTATTCACTTGTAGCTGCTAAAAGTAGAAGACTAGATATTCAACATAGCATTACCTCTACTCAATAATTTTAATGAAACAAAACAGTAAGATAAGGGGGTACGTCTTCAGTAAACACTGACATCCAAAAGTAGTGAAGTCCATAAATACAAATGATTTCATTGCCAATCAAACTGAAATAAAGTTTTACTATCATTTCATGGTCAAATTTCTTAAGATTTAATGAATCTAGTTCTAGCTGGCTATCTACAAGCAAACTGAGCAAGGGCTGCATAGAATACCTTTATGAAACAAGTTGTATCCTGATTGTAAAGGAAGTTACAATTTACATAAGATAAAATTCATAAGTGTACACATACACAAGAGTGTATACAAAACTAGTGATATTCAAATAAGGTTTGTGGATTATGCAATGTTAACATGTCGACCTCAGGGTTTATAACACTTTACTACATTGATACACTGATATAGTGTATCATGCATACTGATAGACTGATAAAGTGTATCATGTTGCACTCTGGTCCTATAAACTGTTACTACTGGGGAAACCAAGTGAGGGATATAAGAGGTATCTACATTTTCCTGTGAATTTGTGTTTATTTCAAAATAAAGTTTCAAAAAAATTATATAGTTTCTAAGGGTAATCTGATCAAAAATAATCTCAAATATTTCAGTACTTGATAATATTACAGAATCTGAGACATTCATGATCCGGATTTTAAAAGTATAAAACCAGGTGCAAGTCAGGCATGGTAGTGAGCCCCTGCCTGTAAAACCCAGCATTCTGAGAGGCTCAGAGAGGAGGATCTCAAGTTTGAAAACAGCCCAGGCAACTTGGCAGTATCCTCTCACAAAATTAAAATTTTAAATAAGGATTGGGAAATGGGGCTCAGGATAAAGGCCCTGGGTTCAATCCCCAGTACTGCCAAAACAAACAACAGTACAATAAAGACAAGCCAAGCACAGTGGCCCACATCTGCATTTGTGGTCCCAGCTACTCAGAAGGCTTGGAAGGAGGATCACTTAAGTCCACAATTCAAGGTCAACCTGGGGAACACAGTAAAAAAGGGGGGGAAAGGGGACTTAACAATACTATTCACAATGATAGCTTTCCAACTTGACATTTACTTAAAATCAGGCTGGTCTTGAACTTATTATGTAGCCCAGGCTGGCCTCGAACTCATGGCAATCCTCTTGAGTTCTGAGATTATGTATGTGTGCCACCATCCCCAGCTAAAGATCTAAATGTTAAAAAAAAAAAAAAAAAAACTGGTAGAAAATTTGATGCACAATAAAGAGAAATATAATAAAAAAGCTAATTTGCAAACAAAAACTTTAAACTTCATTATGGTGTATACACTATAAATAAAATTTAAGTTAATATGGGGGGGAAGTTATTTCAGTAGGTATGACCCATATATCATTATCTTAATATTTAAAAATAAGATTTCTAAATCAAAAATACATACTTTTTGGTTGGCCAAATGAGCTTCCTCTTCAAAAACAAATAATATGATTTTAACTACTAGTATGTATTCAATACTACATCAGGTTTCTGTAAGTACTTGCTGTGGTCTGAAGGTTTGTGCCCCCAACTTCACATGTTAAAAGCCAATCACCAACATGATGGTGTCAGAAGGTGGGGGCTTTGTAGGTGAGATGATGAAGGCAAAGCCAGGTCACTGACCTCAAGAAACACCACGAGGACACAGTAAGAAGGCATCATCTATGAACCAGAAAATGGGCCCTCAGCAGAGACACCCAATCTGCTGGGGCCCTGATCATGAATTTCCATCATCTTCAACTGTGAGGGGTAAGTTTCTGTGATTTATATACTACCCAGTCTATGCTGTTTTGTCACTAAACAGCACTTTTCAAATGTGTGAAGTAAATGCCATCAATGATGAAAATAACAGGTGCCCAGCAGAGATTAAGGAGTCTCCAAGAAATAATTCTACTTTCTTCACAGTTCACTGTCCTATGTAGTCTAACCAGATCTGAAAAAGGAGTGAGGTGACCATTTCTTTGTGTGATAATAAGTCACACAAAGCGCAGAATGAGTTCAGAAATAGTATCACTGATAGAGTGCTGGCCTCACATATGCGAAGCCCTGGATTCAATCCTCAGAACCCCTCCCCAGTAAAGAAATACTATCACTGAAGCCTTTAGTGGTTTCTTGATTTTCTACTACCACTGACTTTTGCTAAACTTTAGTCACGACAGGATGCAATTTTGATAATCGCCATCAAGATGCATCAATGAAGTGGAACAATTTAATCGCCCCTCTGGCTAAAATGTGAAAAGTCACAAAATGAGTGCACTCCTTCTGCACAAGTACAATGCCTGGTACTAACAGCTCCTTTCTAGTGATATCTTTACAGGCTGTACATACAGAATAGCTTATAGGAATCTCAGTACCTGAAGAGCTACTGCCAACCCAATGCCCCACCCACTCCTGAGACCACTGTTCTCCAACACTGACTGTGTTATTCTGTCTCCAGAGACCTCCTAGAAGCCCAGAACCAGCAACGCAGAGGTCTGGACCACTGATGTTCGTGAGCCCAACACTGGAAAGAACACAAGGACTCCATGAACAGAGTTTGTCTGAGTGAGGAATAAGCATGCTGCCTAGTCTTTGAGGCCCCTTGGGATGTCCTGGTATCCATAGTTTTCCCTTCAATTTTGCTCCTTCCAGAACTAATATAAACCTGTAAACATCCAATTTGCTTAAGACAGTTTTACTAGATTTTAGTCAACTAAAAATTCTATTACAAATTTAAGATAATCAAATAAACTGCAGCATTAATGATTTCAGTTAACATTGCAGTACTATATACTTGAAATCTGCAAAGATGGTAAATATTAAGTGTTCTCAACACACATGTAACTATATGCAGTGACAGATATGTGAAAAAACTTGATTGTGCTGATCATTTCACAATGTAAATGTATGAGACAGCCAATGGTATACCTCCAATATATACAATTTTTAGTTGTCAATTATACCCCAACATAGCCAAAAATTTATGTACAGTAACTTTTCTACAATTGACAGGTGAGGAGATCAATGAATAGAGAAGTGAAATGATGTGGTCACTGTCTCATTTCAACAAAAGCTAGGCTGAAGACACAGGTCTGTCTAAGACCTTCGCATTTTCTGATAATTAAAATAGTGGTTTCAAACAGAATACTAGAGAAGGGATATCACTGAAAAATTGTTCCTATCACATTAAAGCTCTTACTTCTAAGGAGTTGGAAGGCTCTTTCCAACAATTCTGTTCAATGAAGACTTACTATAAGATTTGCCCTATTGGTTATAAACCTAAACGCCATGTTTTTAAATGAAAGAGAAATAGTAATTCTAATCTTTCAGGTAGGAGGATGTCTAAAAAACAAGACTACAATGATACCTGAGTCCTACAGTAAAGTGGAAAATGGTGGCTTGCCTCACAGTCTCAGTCCCTACTGCATCCTGGACTCTTGTCTTTCTTTATCTAAGGAGCATTTGTACACCAAATGATAATTTCTAATCCCAATCCAATTACTGCTGCTTTTTGGACCTTGACCAAATGATTTATAACTAAAAAAAGAGGTTAAAGATACCCAATCTAGGTTCCATGGTAGCCAAAAAAAGATTTCTATAAACGATGCTGTTGGTAATAGCATCTTTGTTTTCGTTTAGTTGTTTTTTGAAACAAAGTCTCACGATTCAATTCGCACTGTCCTTAAGCTATGTGGCCCAGAATGACCTTGAAATCCCAGGGAAATTCCTGCCTCAGCCTGAGTGCTGGGATTACAGCCATTACAGTCATGCACCATCACACCTGGCTTTGAAGGTTGTAACATCTAAAACAGTCTTGGTGAGTTCCAGTTCAGTCTCAACTACATAGTGAGACCCTGTCTCAAAAAAATTTAAAAAAAATTTTTTTAAATAAATAAATAAATAAATTTTTTTTTTAAAAGTCTTGGGACTGAACATGTAGCTCAGTGATACAGCACTTGCCCACCATCCACAAAGCCTAGTGTTCAGTCCCCAGCAGCACAAAATAACACAGTTCTGATTGTTTAGGAATTTGCTTAACCATACTATCAAGTAAAAACTTGACAATGCAGCTTCTCCATGTTGTCTCCATTTCATCCCACAGAAGGCTTGTTACCACACTCTTCACTACATTTTTACAAAAACACACCTTTAGATGTACCTTAGAGGTACACTTAAAATGAGAAATATGCTCTTAGACCACCTACAAAAGTACAGCATATCAGTTGACTGCATGCTGACACATCAAACTTAGTTCTATTAAATACTTTTTTAAACTGAGGTTCCTATTTTCTAAATTTCAAGTGATGTAATCTTGTTAGCATTGGCTAGTCAAGCAAATTCCTTCAAAGGCGTCACCAAGTATGTGAAACAACACCCTGCAAATGCATGGCACACTAGCAAATCCAAATGTTAATATCAAAGTCTACTGTCAAAATGTTTAAAGAGTTGCTTTCTAACAATTCTGTCCATTATAAAAATAACTCCTGGGCCAGGGATTTAATTCAGTGGTTCCTCTGCCTGCCTCACAAACCCGAGTTCGATCCCAGGTACCCCAAAATAAAATAAAATAATAAATAATTCCTTTTCCATAACTTTAAAGCCTTCACATTACTGTAGGAAATCAGAAACAATTTAGTTTCCATCTATCACTTTGCACGAGTCACAGCCTCACCTGGGACAGAAAACTGAGGGCTGTCTCTGGAACTAATTCTGTTTTTATAAATAACAAGTCTTGATACCCTAGGACCTTCCTTGTATGACTGTCGTCAAATCATAGAAAACATGATAATTCAAATTTTCCAAGCTGTTCCTCTGCCCAAACGTCCACTTCTGATTCTGGGAATGAACATCAACTCCAAGGTGCTACACAGCAGCTTACAGTCAGTGCGGCACTGCCTCCTTCTGCCAATCCTGCATCCTCCTAATCAAAGCTTTTGCAGGTTGGTCCTCTCCAGGGGCTGCTCACAATCAAGAGTACCCATCTACCGTTGCCAAAAAATTTTTTATTCCACTTAAATCGGTTGATTCCAGCTCTGGTAGTGATTTGTGCAAACCCATCCCTGTACTGCTTCATACCTGTCAAGAAAGATACCTTCATTCCATCCCACACGACTTGAGCATGCTACGCACCGCTTTTTTTTAACTTCCTGTAAGTTCTGAAATAAACTGTTTCCAAAAGAAAAATTTACAACCCGAAAAAACA